AATCTTTAACTGAACAGCACATGAAAACTTGTCTATGTTGGAATCGCATATTTCAGGCCTTTGTTGTGTGAAGTATGCGGGAAGGGTAGCACACAGCAGAATGATGAATGCAGATGCTCACATCATCTTTTTCATCTAGCACGTCTTCGTGCACAAGCGTTCAAATGATTCATTCTCCGCCGCATAGACAGAAACCGATACCGAGCACACTTCGCGATACTCCTTTCCAGCTTTTTTTTGTCAGCTGCATAAGCCACCCCTTAGATGCAATGCTCAGGAGCCGCACTAAAGAGGAGCTCAACAGCAGAGAAGTAGAATGTTTAGCCAAGTTTCCTTTTAACCATCTCATCGCATCCTCTTGCCGGAAGGTATGAAAGAAGCGAATATTCATTCCTTAGACGACATTGGCTGAATACAATGAACGTCAACCCTCAGTAGCCCTGAAAAAATAAAATTGGTGTGCCAAGTGGCGGCGAGCTTTGCAATCCCGTAATTGGTGATGAAAGCCCTGCAAGCAAACAGAAAACCCAGGCAGGCAGGTTCAAGAAATGCAAGTGCTAATGCAAACAAGGCTCATGTATTTTCGGTCGTACATTGAAATATGGCTTGCCTGTCCTGGCACTGAAGTTTGCATCATAGTTATTAATTTAAACACACAAGCACACGGAGAATCACGAGAAGTAGCAGCCTCATGAAACGTTTGCAAAGAAGAACATGAAGACGCAAATATATCATGCCAGAATCATAGATTTCTTTTGCAGCCTCCCGACTCCTCAGCAGAAGATGCAAGCAATGTAGGCATAAGATGACCGAACAAAATAGTTACGTACTGCGTTGCGATCAGGTTACAAAAAACGGGGATTTGATTCCACCAAATGGAACCAATCAGCCAACGAGTTCCTTGGTTTTCAGGTTCATGAACTTTTCTTGCACTTTTCTTTTTTGCAGAGGAATTTTAGGGTGCGAAAGCCGAATGTTTCTTTCAAACCAAGATACATAGCCACGGCAACAGGTGCATCAAGTTCATGTTGGGGCCAAGGGCGGCCACGTTCACACTCTTGCGCTAGCCACCGACATATTGGTCGCTCTGCACACACAGTTTGTTGAACAGCCCGTTGCATGCAATCTGCAAGCCAGAGCACAATCACCCTGCCATTATAGCCTTTGTGGGCCATATGCGCACCATGTTTTTCAGGCTTCCAAACCTCGGGTATTGAGCTCACAAGCTTTGCAAAATGAGAAATGTGCGTGTGTGTTAACTTTTAGCATGAGCAGGCCTTGTCAATTATATGTTGTATTGCAGCTGAGAAACGAAGCGGGGAACAAACTTTGTCTGCGAACATTTCACACCAGAATGTCTTTGAAACGCTTTGAAATCGTGAAATGCCACAACCAAGAGTTTCTGCAGGGACATCTCTTCCGGGGATCCAAAGAAGCCATTATCCAGCAGGTGCATCCTGAGAACAACAGGCAAACAAGGCAAGCAGAAAGAACTTTCGCAAGCACCTCACGTGGAAACCCTAAACTTGAAAACCAATTAGACTTAGTATTATTTTGCTTGGTCTCAGCGTTGAACCTGTTGCATCCTGCGCAATGCCCAAATTCACGTTGTGAAGGCTGCAATGGCATAGTAGATCCATATGGAAATTTCTGAGACCCAGTAGGGGGCCTTGGAACACAACATAAATGCAATTTTCTTTTCAGGAATCACAGACAAAATCCTACGAGCAGCAACCCGAACAAACGTGATACGCATATCATTCAGGTCACACACATCATGGTCAGGAATCACTTGCGCAAGGAATTCATTCTGGGAATACATTGTTTCAGCCCATGATGGGTTCTCAGATAAGTCCAGGTAACAGTGTTCTGCGTCGATGTGGTTTTCCGCGCTGCAACGCCAGCAAATGCGTCTTGTCTTGTACCACTGTTTCAACTTGAAGGTTTGCACGAAAAACTCCCAATCACCTCTGATTTCAGTTACAGCAAACTTGTGAGGAAGATCAGCACCTTCAGGAGTCATTCCATCAAACGCGCAGTTCAAAGAACGAACAACCACGAGGATAAGTGGATTGTGCGACAAAAAACCTCGAGACAAATCACCATTTAGGCTCCAGAGCAACCACTGCGACATTCTTGTAGACTTGGGCCGCCACAGCACTAAACTCAGCCAGAAGCCAGTAACTTTGCTTTGGTCATAGCCTTGCCCATACCGAGCTGTGTCCCCATAAAGGCAGAGTGGAATAGGTGTCCCATCAAAAGGCTGTGCCCACAAGCAAAACTGTTTGCAATGTTCCCAATACTTCTGCAGGGCATCCCACGGAATTTGCAATTGCAAGGTGTTGAATAAGTAAAGAAGAATCTTGTGCGGAAGAAATACTGGCACTTGGACGTCATGGAATTCTTCAGAATCTTCTTTCTTCTTCATGGTAGTCCACACTAAGTCAGGCGCCTGGTAAATGAGAGAAAATTGGGCAAGAATATCTTACATGCGAAACCACTGAATTGACTAGCCCCATACACTTCCTTACATACGAATACCGGAAGTTCATTATAATATATACATGTATACAGAATGCACCATGAACAGAAGCACGAAATCTACGAACCCATAAAAAAGAAAATGCTTTTTATTTCCCCTAGACACCAGTGGCAGCTTCAAGGCTCGCTCGAAATCTCGGGTATTGTTCTTTCCGCTGTAGGACCCCACCTTGCGAAGTGCACGAGGCACCTTCCCCCTGGCATCCTTAGACGTGTCGATCTAATCTCATTTTTGCTGCTTGCAACTAATTAATAATGAGAAAGGATTGCAAGCAAGAGTCCACCACAGCAGATTTCGCACTCCGCATTTCCTTGCCTACTGTAGTAGCCTCAGGAACATGCACATGGAAGTGACATCGCACAACGTGCAAAACACTTGTTGCAGTAAAGTTGCACCTGCCGCGACATTGTCGATCATGTCCCACAATAACTCCGAATCATATACGCCTTCATCAGCACCTGCGGTGGAGAAACCCGCAGGGCAGATTTTCAGATACGCTGTATGAAAAATCACCCATGGAAGAACCTTCAGAATTTCAGCCACCAACTTTTCTTGTGCTCCGCCCGTCGAGTCATACCGTGTCCCCATGCATAGACTTCCCCCAGCCTTTTTAGCTTGAGGTGCACAGCAATGCTATTCGACAGGTTGTCCAAGCACGCAATGGATTTCTACATCCGTGGTCATTGCACATAGCTCTCAAAAAAGCTTTGCGCTAACACTCGGCAAAGAAGCCTTTCTAGGCTTTCTTCTCCTTAGAGCTTTTGCCAAGCAACAACGTGCCATCAGCTTCAGAAATCATTCCTTTGGCTTCAGCAACCGCACTTTCCAGGATGTCATCCCCCTGCCAAACAATTAAGTGAATACACAATGGGGCTTTGCACAAGTCAGGTTAAGTTGTGCCTGCTGCTCATCCAGGGCATTCTGCAGCTTCTTGCGCACACCAGATAGTCGCTTCGTGATAGAATCCAAATCCTGCAGCACTGCCACGCGAAGCGTCTCCCCCCTCAGTTTTCAGAACAACAAACACAGAAGTTATCACAAGTTATTGCAGCAATGCCAGACAATTACAGCACAGAGTAACCACCATTCAGGAAGGTCATGATGTGCTATTCAGGGACAATTTGCAAGCAAGGAGCAAGGCATTCACACCATCAGACGATTTCTTGGCGTGGGCATCTTTTATCTTCTTCGAAAGCAGGTTGATCACCTGGCGCGAAAAAGATGCATGAATTAATAATTACCGAAATCCATTGCGTGTGTCAAGATTTGGAATAAAAACCTTGCACAAGGTACGAATGCTAAAATGTCGAGGAGTGGGATGGCCTCCAGAAATGGTATGTGATTAGCTTAATTAGAACCTGTATATTACATA